GGTGGGGGGGGTTGTACCTGTGTTCCAGAACAGCGGAGACTGGGGATGGACCCAGACCAGGGGCCCTCGTGGGGGTGGCGTGCTCTCCCTTGCTCTCAGAAGAGATAAGTACACTTATTTTTTTCTTAAGTTATCAGTCTCGGGCCTGTCTCCAGGGATTTGTTTGGAGAAGGCTTTCCGGTGATTCCAATAGTAGCCAAGTTTGGGAACCCCGCCTAGACCCCACGCTTGTGTTGAACTCTATTATCCGTGTCCACTTCCTTGCCAGGACACTTCCTTCCACACCAGGGGGAAATACCGCTCTCTTAAACTCACAGTACTTCCTGGGCAGAAGTCCTGGAGCCCAGCCCCTGCCGCTGACAGGTAGACTGGATTTTACCCAATGCCACCTGTGTGCAGGCCACGTGGCTACAATCGTTTGCACCTATGGCGCTCCGGAGGCTCAATCAAGTGGAATGATTTTCATCTGTTTTTGTCTATTTTGATCACGGCCCAAAGAGCCCAGAATGATGTCCAGAACACAGCAGTCTATCAGTAACATGTCTTGTGAATGAAGTGCCTTATCCGATACTGAAACAGTAGAGGTGAATTTAAGGCGATCCCGCAGGTTCTTAATTGTAGTGTCAGATCTTGGAGATGCAGTTCTACTTTGGACTTCATAGTCGAGGAGAGCCGTGACCTCTTTATAGATTTGGGTCGGCTGGCCCAAGCGCCAATTCATTGGGCCCCGCCTGGCCCCAGCGCCTGCGCTCCTCGAGGAACACCTTGCCCTAATAAGGTAGCATCCAGGAACAGCCCTGGGTCGTCGCAGTTCCGCGCCGACAGGCGGTGGGCGTGTCCTGCCTCGCGCATGCGCACAGCTTCCTCGCTGGCTCCTGGGGCAGCGGGCGCAGACTCAGAGCCTTTGCTGCCGCCTCCAAGTGCGCTCCTAGGGGGCGGGGTGAGGTCAGGCTAAGACAAGGGGGCGGGGCTGCGGCTCCGCGCGTGCGCGGAACAGGGCTAGGGGGCGGGGGAACCTGCGGCGAGCTGGCCTGAGCGATTGGAGGCAAGATGCAGGTGAGCGAGGCGTGGAGCTCAGGCCCTGGGGGCTGCGGTCGCTCGCTGGTCCAATTGGGTCCGCGCGCCGAGGGGCGCCGGCCCTGCGGGGAGCGCCGAACGCGGCAGGCACGTGGGAGCCACGCGAGAAAAGGCCTTGCGCAGGCGCATTGCGGGAGGGCTGGGCGTGGTCCCGCTGGGACCCACAGCTGGGCGTCCCCGCCCCGGGTTCCGTGTGCCCTAATCTCTGTCCCTTAGGGATTCCTGTCCTTGAGGTCGGTCCCCGCTGGAGTCTGTGAAGGGCATGCCAGTCCCACCGGACAGAAGTTACACCCTATTAGTACCTTCCTTAATGAACACTTAACAGGTGTGTTAAGGACCCCACTGTGCAGTTAAGGAGCCTGAGGCTGGAGTAGTAGTGGTCCTGCCTGGAAGTTCCCACCGCGTAAAACCCGAAATCTGGCTCCAGTTAAGGCTGAGTGACAGTTTAGTTACCCCCCCCCCAACCCCCCCAGCGCTGGTGTTCAGTTAGGGTGCTCTTCGTTTCTGATTCCCTGGGTTCCACATTGAGCCTGAGGGCCCCTCTGCAAAATGTTTTTTCTTTCTTAAAACGGGTAAACTAAAATTCCCCTAGTTTTACTCTTTCTTTGTAACTGGAATTTGACTACAGTCTATTTCCAAAGAAAATTAATAAAAACGCTATAGAAAGGACACCTGTAGGAGCAGAAATCTTTAACAGATTTTATCACTGTCCAAGGACCCAGCCCTTCCTGATCTGCTTCTGGTCAGGATTCTGATTCAGTCTCCCAACTTTTCAACCTAATACGTTCTTCTAATCCAGGAACAAGGAAATGGAGGTGTGGGGTTTGGCAGGGGAGAGAGTCTGAGGACTGGAGGGGATGATCATCTACAAATCAGTACAACTCAGCCACAAGCCAGACACTCTTACGTGGTGAAGGAAAGGCCTGAGAGCTGCTGGGCCCCCTGTGCACTCTTTCAAGTCCCTGCTTAAAAAGGACACCACTTCAGAGGCCTTTCCTGACCAGGATTTTGCTCATCGTTTGCTTTATCTCAGCAAGACTGACCCAGAGGTGGGGCTAGAGCCTGGTTATCCCAGGGCCCTGTCCACACCGGTCCTTGCTTGCTTATTCCAGACCAAGCCTGAGTTCCATTAGCAGTATTCTGCCATCTGTTCTGTTGTTAATAACAAAAAATACCTGACAATGGATGATATAAAGAAATAAAGATGTATTCAGCTCACGGTTTGGAGGTGGATATCCAGGGACCCTTTCTGGTGAGGTGGAGTGTGGTCTTCTGGCTGCATCATTACGTGGCAGAGGGCGGAGAGTGGTCTGTGTCCATGTTTCTCTCATTTCCTCTCCTTATAAACTCACCAGGGCTCAGTCATGGGGCTCTGCCTAAATGTCTTTAGTCCTAATCGCTTCCCAAAGGCTCCTCCTGTGGTCACTATAATCATATCTGAGTTTTCACCCTCTTAATGGGTGAAATATACATTTGGTTAGGGGGAATATATTCAAATGATAGCACATGCAAACCAGTGCTTGGGAGCTGAGTTCAGAATGCAAGAGCCTGCTTTGACATTTATCTTTCTGACATTTGATCCTGCTAGATTTGACCTTCTGTTCTAGCATGGAAATGTCTCTCCCAGGCTTGTGAGTAAGTGAGTGGATACAGGAGAGAGCTTGGAAGAGTGTTCAATAAGCGGTAGCTGTTAGGAGCACTTCCTCTGATATTTGGCCATTAGAGGAGTCTCTCAGCTCAGTCTCAGACACTCCTGTGGTTCTGATTCTGCTGTAGCCGCTCAAGGCTTTGAGATGTTCAAAATATCACAAGCTCTTTGCTTGTAGGCTCTTTGCACATGCTGGTCCCTCTGCCTGGGAAGTCATTTCCTCAGCCCTCACCCTCCCATGGCTGGTTCCTTCCCATCCTCTGGTGATGGTTAAATGTCACCTCCCCTAGAGAACATCCTTGTCTGTCTGTGGATTGTGAGTCCCATAAAACATTCCAGACCAGCAGTTTATTTATCATTGCACTCGCTGTGTGCGTGTGTAAATATAGTTTGTGTAAATATTCATTCTTTGTGTCCCTTCCACTTGACCATAGCAGGACATTCTTGCTTCTCTGTTGCCTAGTACAGCAATTTACACATAATAGGTGCTTCAATATTGACTGAATGCCTGCAAGTCATTAATAAAAATGTTGAATATACATTCTCACCTTCTCTCTGTCTTACGAAGGAAATGAATAAACTCTGAAAAGGACAAATGCTGAACAGAAGCCAGGTCAAAGCCTTGGTATCAGCATTGATGTTGATTTTTACCTCAAGAACAGCTTAGTCTTCCGGGAGAGGGAAGAGGAGGGCTATGGGGCTGTTGTTTTGACACTTTCTCAGTAGAAGGTCACAGGGTAATTTGGCTTGGCTCCCCTTCCCACTGTTCCTTTCCCATGTGGCACCTTGCTCTCCCCACATGGCACCCTCTGTCCTGGACTCTGCACTCACGGTAGCTGTGGCCCTGCTGTTCTAGGACCCCAATGCAGACACCGAGTGGAATGACATCTTACGGAAGAAGGGCATCTTGCCCTCAAAGGAGAGTCTGAAAGAGTTGGAAAAGGAGGCGGAAGAGGAGGAGCAGCGAGTCCTCCAGCAGTCAGTGGGTGAGCCTGCTCTTTGTGTCGTGTGGGATAGGAAACACCCCTTAAGCCTCTGACAGGTACAGTGGAAGGAGCCTCTGAGAAGAGTCAGGTGTCAGGCTGGAGTGTGGCTGTGATCCTGTCTGTGGGTTCTCCATCCTTCACCTCCTGGGCTGTAGACTTAGGCAGATTTCAGAGGCATCCTTCAGTCTCACAAGTCCTGTGTGTGTCAGATGAGCACATGACAATCCTGAAGCAAGTATTTCTGAGTCTTGACTTTTGACCTGTGATTCACTTTGGATGATGGCATGGATATTGATCCAAAGTAGTTTGTACTTGTGTTCTCCTAAGGTTATATTTTATTGTCTTTTATGAGCTACCAGCTGCCACACTGAGAATACTAAACTAACATAGCTTAAGTTGTAGAAGCATTAGGTGTTTATACTGTACAGGTCCGAGAGAGGTTTTCTCTTATGTGGCCATGCCACCTGAGTGGGAATTCCTTGGAATGCTGGGAGAAACACCCCAACCCCTGCTACTGATAAATCAGAAGATCTGGGATCAGCTACAAGAATTTGCATTTAAGTGCCTTAAAGGATTTCTTTTTCTTTTTTTTTTTTTTAACAATTATTTATTTTATTTTATATATTTATTTTTATTATTATTTTTTAATTTGCCATAGGGCATGCGTGCTCACCATAGAGAGCTTAAGTGAGAAAGCAAGCTGCCATGTTCAGGTCTCAAACTGTGGTCAGCCATGAGAAAGTCCAGTACCTTAACTGCCACACTACCTGCTGGCCTACCTAAATGCGTGCTCAAGTTTGAGAACCACTCATCACAGGAACTGACACTTATACCTCCTGTTCATGCATTAGTGATGGTTTAAGGAAGAATTTCATAGAAAGTGTTCCTGTAGGGAATGTTTTTGGAGTGATTCTTGTGTGTCGGAAACTGTTCTGGGCAATGAGGATTTAGCTGTATACAAGCCAAACAGAATTCTCCACCCCCGGGGAACTTCTATCCACTGGAGAAGACAGAGTCAACAGTCACTAGGGAAATCAGGCAGGAGAAGGGGCTGGGAGAAAAGTGAGCCAGTTCTAGGTAGGGTTAGAGAGCCTCATGGAGAGGAGGTTAAGAGGACATTTGAATAGATTCACAGGAGGTATAGGAGTTGGGAAATACATTTGAGACCACCTGGAGAGGGTGAGTTGAGCAAGTGAAAAGTGGCCTGGCAGGCCAGTATGGCTGGGGGAGTAGAAGTCAGTGTAGAGAGGCCGTCAGGGGCCTAACCACTGAGGACTTAGAGTTTCTAGTTAGGACCACAGCTTTTACACCTAATGAGGTGGGAAGCATTCAAGTGTTTGACAGCCTGTTCTGTTGCTGCCTTATTGGGTGTGGACTGGGGTGGGAGGCAGGGAGGCAGTAGTTCTGTAAACCACTGCAGTAATCCAGGTGCGACACCTTTGCTGTGGAGGGGTGTGGAGCTGGTGCAAGTGCTGAGAAACGGTCAGTCTGGATAGAGTCTGAAGGTGGCCAGTGGGATTTGCTGATGGGTCCTGTGAGGGGTGTGAGAGATGAGACAGGGGTGATGGCAAGGCCTTGGACTTGAGCAGCCTGAAGGATGGAGTCATCACCAGCTGAGTTGAAAGGTTTGGAGGAAGAGTGGGAACTCTGGGTCATGCCAGCCTTCAAGTCTTAGTAGACAGACAGAAGTGCTAAGGAGGCAGTTGGGTATGTTTTTCTCTGAATCAGAGAAGTCTAGGCTGGAGGCATAAATTTAAAAATTTTACTTCTTTTTTCGTGAGAGATTTTTGCTATAGGGCACATGCACTCGCTGGAAAGACAGAAAGTAAGAAATCATCCCCGGGGGCAGAGGGGGTTGGTATGGCCACATCGCAGTCCCTTTTCTTGGGAGTTTGGGCACATACACACATGTGCCTGACATGAGTTTCTAGCCGCCGGGTCTGGGATTCAATCCATGGTCTACTACATGGGAATCCAGCGACATAATCAATATGCCATCTGCTGGTCCCATTATCATTATTATTATTTTAATTTGATGAGAGAGAGAGAAAAAGCAGGAAAGCAAGTCACTAGGCCCAGGACCTGCAGTCCTGAACTGTAGTCTGCCATGCCATGTATAAGTCCAGCGCCTTGGGACCAGCAGTTAGCATAATGGGTATGTCGCTGGACTCCCACGTAGTCGACTGTGACTCGTGTCCCAGTGGCGTAAAACTCAACGCTGGGCGTGTGTGCGTGCATGCCCAAGATCCCGAGAGGAGAATGGAGGAGAAGGGATTGCGGCGTGGCCATCCCCCCTGGGGGGTGATTTCTCACTTTCTGTCTCTCTGTCTCTCTCTGTCTGTCTGGCGAGCACACGCACCCTATAGCGAAAAACCTCTCCAAGAAAAAAAAAAAAAAAGAGTCCAGCACCTTAACCACCACGCCACCTGCTGGCCCCATGAATTTGGGAGTTGCCAACATATTGATAGTATTTGGAGCCATTGAGATTAGATATAATCACCAGGGGCTGGGATAGAGGAGAAAAGCCTCAAATTTTGAACTCTGGAGAATTTAATTAGCTAAGTGTATAAGAAGAGAGGGGAGGCAGCCATAAAGGTGGGGACAAGGGGCATCTGGAAGCCACAGGAAATGGTTTTCAAAGAGGTGGCAGAGGTGGCTTAGATCAAATGCTGCCTGTCATCAAGAAATGAAAGGTCAACTGGCTTGGTTACTAGTGCTTAAGGGAACAAGATCCCACATGGGAAACCATGCAGTGTGAATCCTGGCCCCTGTGGCTTGACGAACATGCTGGGTGCATGTGCATGCATGTCTGAAATCCCATCACAAGGGAGAAATGAAACAGGAGGGATTATGGCACAACCACACCCCATAAGTGCTCTTCCCTACCCGCTTCTCCATGCATGGGCTCTCAGAGAACACATGTCAGGACCAGGACATGACGTAATGATTACATCGTTGGACTCCCATGTAGTCGACCGTGGTTTGAGCCCTGGACCTGGCAGCTTCAGACTCACGTGGGGCATGTGTGCATACATGCCTAAAATCCTGAGAGAAGAATGGAGGAGAAGGGACTGTGGTGTGGCCGTCCCCCCTGCAGGATGATCTCTTGCTTTCTATCTCTCTGTTTCTCCGACAAGCAAACGTACCCTATAGCAAAAATCTCTCTTTAAGAAAAAAAAAAAGGTAGTAATAGTAAGGATCGATATTGACCTTGATAGAAACTGTTTCATGAAGTGATAGGCAGTAAGGGGAACAAAACTCAGTTTTGTTTTGTTTTTTAAAGAAAGGTTTTTGTTATAGGGCATGTGCCCTTGCCAGAGAGACAGAAAGCAAAAAAATCACCCCCCAGGGGGAATGGCCACACCACAATCCTTTCTCCATTTCTCTTTCAGGATTTTGGGCACACACGCACACATGCCTGGTGTGAGTTTCAAGCACCCAAGTCTGGGACTTGAGCCACAACTGGCTACATGGGAGTCCAGCAATGTAACCCCTATACCATCTGCTGGTCTCCAAAAGCCAGTTTCTATGTCAAGAAATATGAGTGGGGGCCAGCAGATGGTATAGTGGTTGAGCTGGACTTCCACATAGCTGACAGCAGTTCCAGTTCAAGACCCAGTGCCTTGAAAATTATGCTGGGCACATGTGTATGCGTGCCAAAAAGCTCAAGAGAAGGGACTGAGGCCACCCACCCTGGGAGGGTTATTTCTCAGTTTCCCTCACACTGTCTCTTTGTCTGTCTCTCTCTCCAGTGAGTTTATGTACCCTATAGCAAAAACCTAAAAAAAAAAAGAAAAGAGAAGAAATATGAGTGTTTATAGCAATAGAAAATAAGATTTAAATTTCATAGCAGTTAGATACCAGCAAAGATAGAGCATCCTCCCGTTCATAATGAAAAACCAAGAAGTATGTGGTCATTACCTTTAACCTCAGGAATGGTACTCTAAGGGAGCACACCAACTGGTCTCCTCCCTGGCCCCTTGGCTGATACGGGCACGGATTGCAACCCAGTCCATGAAGACTGTACTTGACGATTGGATCAGGTGATGTCCCGTAAATCTGAGGGGACTTGCAAAAGTTTATGGGAAAAAAATGGAACTAAATCACAGTTTTATTTTGGTGCAAAAAATTTGAAAGCTGCTATTAGTCTTTTCACAATATACAATTTCTATGAACTTTTTGAAGTTTTCCCACCCCCATACAACTCTCTGGTTTTATGAATTTGGGAAATTTCTCATTCATATCCTTGTTGTGTAGAGTTCAGACCGTCAAGCCTGACTGTACCTAACAGAAATCTTGTCTTTTTAAAACCCCCTCAACTTGCTGTTTACTAGAGAAATACCATCTGTAATTTTTGGTCAGGTGGGTTAGGGGGTTTCTGGTATTATATGCACATTTTTAGGAGAACAGCGGAGGAGAAACTCAAATGCCTATTGGTTCACTTTTTAAATATTTATTTTTTCTCCAACATAACTAAAATCAGTGAAAACATACGAAGATATGACTTTGGAAGAGCTGGAGGATAATGAAGACGAATTTAATGAGGAGGATGAACGTGCTATCGAAATGTACAGGTTAGTGTTCCACAGGGGGACTGTTTGTTTTCTTGCATCATAATAAAATATGTGTCCTTTGGAAAGTTAATTTTCCAGCTGAGGTAACATTTGAAAAGGACTAAAATTAAATAATAGTATTGCAAGTTTGAATAAACTGATCTTAGATTTTTATCACGAGACAAATAAACAAACTCAAAGCTTTATAAGAACTGCTTTCTGGAAGATGAATATATGTGTGCACATACGTGTATATAATATCTTTCCTTCTGTTCTACAGGCAGCAAAGACTGGCTGAGTGGAAAGCAACCAAACTAAAGAATAAATTTGGAGAAGTTTTGGAGATCTCAGGAAAGGATTATGTTCAAGAAGTTACCAAAGCTGGTGAAGGCTTGTGGGTAATCTTGCATCTTTACAAGCAAGGGTGAGCAAATCTTTCATGCTGTCTATAAAATGTTAGTTGAATTTGTTATTGAAGATCTAGGCCTTAACTCATCTTAAGGTTTTTTTTTGTCTTGGGGTGTTTATTTTGATTCTGAGTTGCATGTTTTTGATGCTGGTTTGCCCAAACATAATGCCTTAAGATTTATCTTAAGATTTTCAAATTAGCGGGACCAGCAGTTAGCGTAATGGTTATGTCGCTGGACTCCCATGTAGTTGACTGCGGTTCGAATCCTGGACCCGGTGGCTTAAAACTCACGCCAGGTGCGTGTGCGTGTGTGCCCAAGATCCCGAGAGGAAAATGGAGGAGAAGGGATTACGGCGTGGCCATCCTCCCTGGGGGGTGATTTCTAGCTTTCTATCTCTCTGTCTCTCTCTGCCTATCTGGTGAGCGCACGTGCCCTATAGCAAAAACCTCTCCAAAAAAAAAAAAGATCTTCAAATTAGTATTTGTGACTAATTCAGATGGCTTTCTTAAAGAGTAGCTATGAAAACTTTGCTTTTCTTGTATTGAAAAGGAGTTCCTAAGTTTTTTCTCCCTCTGGAGGAACTCTGGTATTTCAAAATTCTCTATCAGTGAGTTCTTTCTTTTTTCTTTTTAAGTTTATTTCTTCCAAGAGAGAGAATGGGTGGGGGGGAGAAGCACCCCCAGCAGGGTCCCCATGACATGATCCACTCCCAGCCTCACTTAGCCTGGATCACGGTGTGTCCTTGTACCCAGTATATACAGGAAGGCCCTAGGATCTTCCCTCGTGGGTCTAGTTGTGTTACGCTGTGCCGTCAGCTGACCAGTAAGTCACTGCTGTGGCTGGTGTGTGTGACCCGTACAGTAGCTGTCTGCTGAGTGATGCGCTGGTCCTGCAGTGTCCTCGCCTGCCCTGCCTTTTTCTAAACTAGAGAGTCCAGTGCTTGATGGGATTCCTTTACAGCAGGGAATACTTCCTGACCTATTTCATGCATTCTAAATCTTCAGTGTTCTCTCGATTCGACATTATAGATGGACCTAGCAGTTATCTTGTACAATGAGTTCATATTTTTGAATTATGATTGTTTTAAATTAGGTTGGGCTTTGGATTTTAAGTGCTTCCCTTTCTCTGAACTCAGTATCAGAAGGTTTTTAAAAATGTTAATTCATCTGAGTTAGTAGGAGACTCACTTGCGAGGCTGCTGTGAGGTGTTGTGTAGGGTAGAAGGGTAGTTGAGCTATGCTCTATATAAATGCAGACTCACAACCGCCTGTTTTCTATTTCTGTTTTTTAGGATTCCCCTCTGTGCCCTGATAAATCAGCACCTCAGTGGACTTGCCAGAAAGTTTCCCGATGTCAAATTTATCAAAGCCATTTCAACAACCTGCATACCCAACTACCCTGACAGGAATCTGCCCACAGTATTCGTGTACCTTGGAGGTGATATCAAAGCTCAGTTTATTGGTCCTCTGGTGTTTGGAGGCATGAACCTGACAAGAGACGGTAAGGGGCTCCTGGAGAAGGCAGGGCACTGAGAGCTGGGAGGGGGTGTCCCTGCTGAGGAGGGCACCTGCCTCCTGGACATGTGCTACAGCGACTCTCTAGTTCACTCGTGCATCTGGGTGGGTGATCGTTGTAAGGAAAGAAGCACATTTCATCTCAGGCACGCCATCAGGAGTAGTTTCAGCTGGCCTCTAGAAATTCTCAATTAAAAGGAAGGCACAGTGGATTAAGTAGGGGTGTGTGTGTATGTGTGTTTGTATTTAAAAGTGACATTGGAGGGACCAGCAGTTGGTGTAATGGCTATGTCGCTGGACCGTCCTGTAGTCAACCACAGTTCGAGTCCTGGACTCAGTGGCTTAAACTCACACCAGGCATGTGTGCGTGCCCAAGATCCTGAGAGGAAAATGGAGGAGAAGGAATTGCACTGTAGCCATCCTCCCTGGGGGGTGATTTCTCACTTTCTGTCTCTCTGTCTCTGTCTTTTTGGCGAGTGTACATGCCCTATAGCAGAAACCTCTCCCCCAAAAAATAAATAAAATTGACATCGATATATGTTATATTATTTGTCTGCAGTTGAATACAGTGGAATATCACAGCATTCATTTTGGCTTTAATTCACATATATATATATATATATATATATATTATAGAAATACTTTTAGTTTCATGTCTTAGTAGTTTTTAAATTTAAGTTAAAATTTTATTTAATTCTGCCTCTTCACTACAATAGGATGTGACTTTGAGTTCCTTTCTACCTGTTACACATAAAGATGCCAAAATACATATCCTCATGAAAAGGGGAAGAGAACCAGAGGCCAGAATTTTTTAAGTTTTTCTGTTTCATGAGAGAGAGAAACAGACAGACAAGCACCCCCTACAAGGTCACCATGATGTCCCTCAGCATGTCCTAGCCGTTAGGATCATAGACATGCACGTGCATGCCTGGTATGTATGGGTCAACCAGGGAATCAAACCCGGATCTTCCATGTGGCTTCCAGCATTTCAGAGCCTTGTGCTATTGCTCACTACCATGGCTGGGCCTAAAAACATAGTTTTAAACATGACTGTATACTGAACCACCAAGACATACCACTGGAAAAAGTATAAGCATGTACCTACATGTATATACACATACATGAGATACATCTGTTATACATATTCCAGTGTTCAAAGTCACTTAGCATTTCAGACCAATATATGTTTGCATCCAACTTTGACCTTTTTTGAACATGCCATGAGGGGAGAGAACTAGGTGTACAGCTAGAGGTATAGTCTTAATGAGGATTAGTGAATTTCTATAACAACTACTGTGTGTAAATGGACGTAGATTAAGTACATATACATATATACGTATGCGTGGATACATAAACATAGATAAGTAAGTTCTTTCTTGAGTAAGAACCAGAAATACTAAGTTTTTTCAAGAAATTTGTAGACTTCGGAACATTCAGCCACGGCACTTAGAGCTGAAAATACTCTGGATGTTCATCTCCATGAACATGGTTTCCCCAGCATTTTTCAGTATGGTCGAATTTTTTTAATTGTATGTATTTGAGGTGTATGCCATGGTGATTTGATATCACTGTGAAATGAGTACCAGTCAAGTTAGCTGACACATCTGTCACTCACGTTTTTCTTTTTGTGTAGAGAATACTTAAGATCTGCTTTTCTAGAAATCTTTAAGTATATAATTCAGTTTTACTGACTAGTCACCATGCTATATACATTAAATCCCCAGAACTGATGTATCTTGTCATTGGAAATTTGTATCCATTTTTTTTCTTTTTTAGGTTTTTGCCATAGGGTGCCTATGCTCACAGAGAGATACAGAGATTGGGAAAGTGAGAAATTACCCACCACCTTGGGAGGGACGGCTCTATTGTAATCCCTTCTCCATTCTCCTCTCAGGATTTTGGGCATTCACGTACATGTACCTAGTATCATTTTCAGGCTGCCAGCCCTGGGACTTGAACCACAGTCTGCCATGTGGGAATCCAGTGCCTTAATCATTGTGCCATCTGGTAGCCCAGAAATTTGTACCCTTTTACTAAAGTCTCCCATGTATACTTCCACCCCCCCACCCCCGCCATCTCCCCCTGGGGCCACTATTCTACTCTGTTTTATAGAACACTTTACATTAATTATTAGCAATTCTGTATAATTATATATACAGGCAATATATACTTATGTATAAATATAAATGGCATTAATATTAATACTTCAGGAAACTCAGTTGTCAGAGTTCGCAGTCAGCAGAGCATCTCTGTGTTCATCCGCCTTTTAGTCACGCTGCTGGTTTTAGTATCTCTTGGGTTCTGGCCGGTTCTTTTCTGTAGCAGAAAGCTCGATCACTAGATTTGTCACAAGTTCTCATCCCACGTGTGTGTTCACTGATTATAAGAGAGTGAAGTGTAGGCGCTCAGTCTTCAATCACGGTTCTTTACTTTCTGGTACTCTGTTTTTTTTTTCTTAATTACCTGGAACAAGTGTATCAGTTCTCGGGTGTCATCATACATTCATCCTTTGACTGTACTAGGTTGGGGTATCAGACTCAAGGCCGAAGAACGTCCTTTTGTTACCTAAACTTAGATAATGATTCGCTTGCCAGCAGGACTGTGGAAATGATTTTCTTTTAATGTTTCATACTGATTTCTTCCTGGGAAATTGTCCAAGCTGGGAAACTAATAATTAGAGGGTAAATTCATTCTTTGTATTTTGAGTTCTATATAGGTTCTAGTTTATATAATATCTTACTTGGATTCATCTTCTGAAAAAAATGAAAGTATTTTTTGTATGTGTGTGTGTTTTTTTTTAATGTCTGTCCCTTCCCCCCACCCCAGCTCCTTAAAATGATGGCACTGATGTTAAATTACCATCAAATGTTGGTTGTATATTCTGTTTAGGAAAACATTGTGCTTTGATGGACGTAGGGTCAGGAGACTGTAGTTCAGTGCCTTAATGTGGTTCTTGCTGCTTTATCACGCAGAGCTGGAGTGGAAATTATCCGAGTCTGGAGCAATCAAGACAGACCTGGAGGAGAACCCTAAGAAGCCGATTGAAGACACGTTGCTGTCTTCCGTGCGGTGCTCCGTCCCCCTGAGGAGGGACAGTGATTCTGAGGGTGACTGAGGTCACAGCCATTGAGACTTGATGAACTTTCTTCATGTGACAAACCACAGGACTTTTTAAAAGGGAGAAAGCAAGAATGCTTTTTTTTGGTTTTTAGCTTTTTATAATTATGTTTCAGATCTTACACATTTCAGAAATAACCATTGGTGGGAATAGTTTTAAATTTCTTGGAACTCTCTTTTTAAATTAATAACATTTCCTTTTAAAACAAATAAAAAGCAGCTGTTGGTATGGAGTGTCTACGTTTTCCTCACTTACATTTTCAGCAAGCCGTACAACCACTTTTTAATATATAACTATATAGAAAGAAACCCGAAGTTTAAAAGGTGAATGTATAGTGAAAAAACTGCAAACTAGCTTTACATGACATTGTTTATTTTTACAAAGGTAGTAAGAGGATTATCCATTTAAATGAAATACAGGAATGAACAGTAGGGAAAAATTCTTAGTATCTATCTATTAGGAAGAAATAGACAATGATTTGGCCCAGCCGCAGTGACAGAAACGGCAGGGGCACTGTGCCCAGTGGTGGAGACCGTGTGGAGGGCTCCAGGTTGGTGTTCCAGTGCACCTCGCACCTCGGATCCTGGCTAGCTGCAAGGGTGACAGGCAAGGAGATTGTAGTGTGAAGACTGAGGAAAGTGTGCCTCCCTTTCTCTTTCTCTGAAAACAAACTAAAAAGTTTAATCTTGGGACCAGCAGTTAGCGTAATGGCTATGTTGCTGGACTCCCACGTAGTCGACTGCGGTTTGCGTCCCAGACCCAGTGGCTTAAAACTCACGCCGGGCGCGTGTGCGTGCGTGCCCAAGATCCCGAGAGGAGAATGGAGGAGAAGGGATTGCGGCATGACCATCCCCCCTGGGGGGTGATTTCTCACTTTCTGTCTCTCTGTCTGTCTGTCTGGTGAGTGCACACGCCCTATAGCAAAAACCTCTCCAAAAAAAGAAAAAAAAAATAGTCTTATCAAAGCAGTAACAGAGGTCCCAGTTTACTGCCATATTTCTCGGGTTAAGTGTTTTCTCTAGTTAAAACAGTATTTATCTCAGACGAGATGCCAGCTCACCGTGATTACTGTAACAAAGCCCACAGATTCTTTCTTGGAGATGAAGATAAGCCCACATATAGGTAGATAAACTGTATCTTAACTAGCCAATAAAAAACAAGACGTTCTGTGTACCAGAAACCTGTTTGTACTCACCCCTTCCTGTCAAAGCGACATTGATAACCGGGAACTTGGAGGAATTTTTCTTGTGTGTGTTGACTGTGGCTTAATGCTGGTTTGAGTCTTAAGAAAACCTGAGTCAGCGTGGAGTTCTCGGAGCTTATTGAACAATTTCTCGTTCTGACAGTGGCGAGCAGTTGTGACCCATTTGACCTGTCAGCGGCGTCTGGGTGATTTTGCTTCTGTACCTACACGAGAGCCAGGGCTGTGGCCCTTATCCCGCAGCAGGCCATGTGGGATCCAGCCACCGCCACCCCACGCCATCTGCTGGCCCAGAGAGCTGCCTTCGATTTTCTGTTGACGGCCCCTATGACGAGGTGCAGGAGGAGCACGATCCAGGGTAGGAGGTTCGAGGCCGCTGGCCTGAGAGCACTGATGAAGTGCGTGCAGGGCAGAGCACACAGCGACCAGAGCAGCAGGCCACTTTCAACGTGGAGCCCGCAGCCCGTCCCTCTCCAGGTATTTGCGGGGCCGCTTTGATTCGTGTGACAGCTGCTCAGTGATCAGTGAGAGAAGATTTCAGAAAATCCAGAGAGTGGATGAGTGGGAGAAGGGAACTGGAGGAAAACTAGGGCTCAAGTACAGTCGATTGTGACTTCCGTGTTTTGTGGAGGAGAAAAGGACGTGGAGGGGTGTATGTAACTGCCTCACTGTAAGGTTAACTCCAGTCCTGCTTGGGGGGCAGGTCGTTGTTCTGCAGAGGCCCTCAGCGGAGAGCCTCCTCAGGGTTCAGAGGACGTTAGCGAGCTGTCCTGGCTGTGAAAGGTGTTCGGGAGAGAGAGGGCTGGTTAGTGCCTCTGTTACCAATGCCTGGAGCTTTCTGGTCACCTCCAGCTTTAAATTCAAATTTCTTATATAAGAACTCTAAATACTTTTTTTTTTAAGAGATTTTTGTTATAGGGCATGTGCACTCACCGGACCAGTGGGATGGCCATGCCACAGTCCCTTCTGGGATCTTGGACACACACAAACACATACCTAGCATGGGTTTTAAGTCGCTGTGTCCAGGACTCAAATCACAGTCAACTACATGGGAGTCCAGCAATGTAGCCATTAGGCTACCTGCTGTTTCTGAAGAACCCCCAATATTTTTAAGTATATGTATTTTTTATGAGTAAGAGAGAGACAGAGATAGAGAGACAGCACCCCCAACTGTGTCTTGATACCGTGATCCACCCCTAGGGTCAGCCAGTCCTGGATCCTTGGTACCGTGTCCTCGGCATACTCAGAGAGGGCTCCAAACTGGACCCAGGAACCTCTCATGGGATGGCCTTGCAGAGTATTGCATTGTACTGCTGTGTTGACTGACTCCCCTGCCTTAAAAAAAGGGGGGGGGGACCAACAGCCTAATGGCTATGTCGCTGGACTCCCATGAGGTTGACCGCAGTTCAAGTCCCAGACCTGGTGGCTTAAACTCACACTGGGCGCGTGTGCGTGCGTGCCCAAGATCCCAAGAGGAGAATGGAGGAGAAGGGATTACGGCCATCCCTCCTCGGTGTGGTGGGGGGTGGGTGATTTCTCGCTTTCTGTCTCTCTGTCTGTTTTTCTGGTGAGTGCACGTGCCCTATAGCAAAAACCTCTCAAAAAAAAAAAGTTATTTATTTTTTCTAGGAGCAAGATAGAGATAGAGAACAAGCCCACAAGCCCAGATTTTGACAAACTCCTTTTCAAGCACGACAGGCAAAGTGTGCTGTGATTGCGTTGCCTGCTGTAGAAATGCGCCCCCAGGAAAGTGACTGTCCTGCTGACGGAAAGCAGCTGCTACACACACAGCCAACTCGTGGCAGGTGGCTTCCAGCACGCCACCTGGGTGTGGCTTGTATGCACTGAGCAGATGTGCTTTCATACTCTGCAGGTGGCTCCCTGCTCAGCCACCCCCATGGGTGACCTTGTCTCTTGCCCACCACAAGGAATCCCCCAGTGTCTGGTCTCACCTCGTTACCTGCATGGCAGCTTCACTTGCACTTCCTGTTCCCTTCAGTCTCAAGGGAGACTATGTCTTCTCTCCAAGTCTAATCCCTCTCTCTCTGCCCTTTTTTTTTTTTTTTAAGCTCATTTATCTATGTCTTTCGTGAAAGAGAGAGGCAGAGAGACAGACAGACAGCACCTCCAACAGTGTGCTCACACCACGATCCACCCCCAGCCTCAGCCAGCCCAGGCTGGGCTGTGCAGGGAGACGTTGCAATAGGAACCCAGGACCTTCCCACGTGACTCCAGTTTCCTGCTGCCCCATCCTCTGGCTCCTCCCTTCCTTCTTTGGACCAAATTCTCTCCTGCATTTTTAGGACTGGGCTCCAGCCATAGTTCATCTTGATTTCAGTCTCTTGTGTCGTGGGGCCCTCAGGCTAAACTTTAGGATCTTGTGGTAGAGACTTCTAATTGTCCTCCAGGTATCCAGGACTCCCTGGTTCCACTCCAGCCCCAGTGGGGCCAGCTGAAAAGATGAAACCCCCAGTCTCTCGAGCTGTGAATGGAAATGGACAGAAACGGGCTGGAGGTTCCAGACAGTCTTCTTAAGAGAGACAGACTGACCTGTGGCCTTCGTAAATGTCACCTCTTTCCCCCAGACGTGTAGGCGGGACTGTAGCCTACTTGGGCTGTAAGGTGTTAGCAGCTGACACATTTCCTGATAAAGACACCTGCCCATCACTAGTCAAAGAAAAGCACCACAGCAGCCATTCTAGCTTCCTGAGCGCCAATGTCAAATGACTCGACGAATCAGAAAACTAGTCTCTGTTCCCTGCTCCTCCTCATACTTGCCTTTCAGTAACGTCATGAACCAGGCCTTTTAACTCCTATTTCCAACGTATGAAGGACTAGATACGCTGAACAACCCACCTGATAACAGCTCAAAAGTTTGGATGAAATTTATTATTTTTTTAGAGGTTTTTGCCATAGGGCACATGTGCTCATTGGAGAGAGACAGACAGAGACAGTGAGGGAAGAAGTGAGAAATCACACCCTCCAAGGGGGGATGGTCATGCCACAATTCCTTCTCCATCTTCCTGGGATCTTGGGCACAGGCACCCAGTGTGAGTTTCAAGCCTCCAGGTCTGGGACTCGAACCTCATTCAGCCATGTGGGAGTCCAACGACATAACTACTAAGCCATCTGCTGGTCGCAGAAACTTTTTTAAAAAATGTTTTTAAATGTCCCTTGGATTGGTAAGAAAGAAAAGGATTCCGAGAGTTCAAAACTGAAGTGAGGGACCAGCAGTTAGTGTAGTGGCTATGTCGCTGGACTCCCACGTAGTCAACCGCGGGTCGCGTCCCACACCCAGTGGCTTAAACTCACGCCGGGCACGTGTGCGTGCGTGCCCAAGATCCCGAGAGGAGAATGAGGGAGAAGGGATTGCGGTGCGACCATCCACCCGGGGGGGGATTTCTCGTTTTCTGTCTCTCTGTCTCTCTCTGTCTGTCTGGCGAGCACACGTGCCCTATAGCAAAAACCTCTCAAAAAAAAAAAACTGAAGTGAAAGCAGAGTTCCAGAAAGATAAGGAACTTCTTAGTTCCACTAAGTTCGTTTTCTTTGTGCTGTTGAGATCATCTTAGAACGGAATGTGGGCTACAGGTGACAGGGGGCAAGCCTTGGAGTACCCAAGTTCGGGAGTCTTCATGGCAGATCCCCCTTCAAACAGCTGGAGTTCCAAGGGATAGCTCTCACTGTGAGGGGAAGTCCTTGGGAGAGAGAATGCGGTCGTTTCTGAGAAGTCAACTGCAAGCCTTCCTTCAGACAAGTTTGCAGTTTGGATTCTCATGCTACCTGTGGTCTAGGAACTTCTCAAACCAAGTTATTTTTGTTTTGTTTGTATATTGTGTATATATGTGTGTGTGTGTGTGTGTGTATCAATCACTGTATATCATTACAGCTTGCAAAACGGATTTCCCCAGCATGAATACAATGTCTGTATATCTTAATAAAACAGTAAAGAGCGATTAAGGGGGTCTCCTTCAGCTCCTCCATCATGACTGTACACAGCTTCGTGAATTTTCCGGC